GTAGAAGAAAGAAGAAAACCCGTTCTTGGCAGCAGGGGAGTCAGGTTGCCACAGCAACGAGCTTCTTCCAAGTCCACTCATTACATGGCTTTTGAATTAGACTTCCTCCTGTGCATACATCACGCTGCACTGATTCTCTTGTTTTCGGCCTGCTCCTTTCCCAGCTTCTCCCGGGGAAATCACCACAGAGGGGAGTCACTGACCCCTCCTTTCAAGGCTTGGTCCTGCGTGTCCCTGGGATGACACAATATTTACTTGTTGATTTACATTGGGAAGAACCTGATCTCTGTGCAGGGGGAAGAGCCCCCTCCTCCTCCGTGGGTGGGAGCATTGACTGGTATGACTTTTTGAGCAGCAATTTGGGACAATACAAGTGTATACCCTTTGGTCTCATGGTTCTGGGGCTTAACCCTGGCATGACAGCATTTTTGTATAACAGTCAAAAGCTGGAAATAACCTTCACATCCCTGATGGGAGATGGGTTAAATATCAGCTAAGCCACTAGACAGTTGATGAATAATGAGCTAGAGCTTATGTACCCATATGGAAAGACGTACTGTTAAGTTAAAAAAAGTAAGTTGTTCCAACTCATAGAAACAGAAAGAAGGGTGGCTGTCAGGACTGGGGGGAGGGGGAAATGAGGGGGGTTGTTTAATGGGTATAGAGTTTCAGCTTTGCAAGATGAAAATGTTCTGGAAATTGATTGTACAACAATGTGATTATAACACTACTGAATTCTAAACTTAAAAATGATTAATGGGCTGGGCACGGTGGCTCATGCCTGGAATCCCAGCACTTCAGGAGGTCAAGGTGGGCAGATCACGAGGTCAAAAGTTCAAGACTACCCTGGCCAACATGGTGAAACCCTGTCTCTATTAAAAATACAAAAAGTAGCTGGGCGCGGTGGTTCAAGCCTGTAATCCCAGCACTTTGGGAGGCCGAGGCGGGTGGATCACGAGGTCGAGAGATCGAGACCATCCTGGTCAACATGGTGAAACCCCGTCTCTACTAAAACTACAAAACATTAGCTGGGCATGGTGGCACGTGCCTGTAATCCCAGCGACTCAGGAGGCTGAGGCAGGAGAATTGCCTAAACCCGGGAGGTGGAGGTTGCGGTGAGCCGAGATCGCGCCATTGCACTCCAGCCTGGGTAACAAGAGCGAAACTCCGTCTCAAAAAAAAACAAAAAAAACAAAAAGTAGCCAGGCATGGTGGCACATGCCTGTAATCCCAGCTACTCGGGAGGCTGAGGCAGGAGAATTGCTTGAACCCAGGAGGTGGAGGCTGTAGTGAGCGGAGACCATGCCACTGTACTCCAGCCTGGTGGACACAGCAAGACTCCGTCTCAGAAAAAAAAAAAAAAGGTTGAGATGGTAACTTTTATGTCATATGTTCTTTACCACACAGAAAAAGTTAAGTTTCAAAATGGAATTGGGAGGAGACAAAATAAGCTGTTATCAGTGCTTCCCTTTGCAGCTGGGGAGCATTAAAGGGGGAAAATGTGTTACTTTTCATTTTATTCCCTTCTTTTGGAGAGCTTTTTTTTCCTGGATACAAAGTCTCACTCTGTCACCCAGGCTGGAGTGCAGTGGTAGGATCTTGGCTCACTGCAACCTCCGCTTCCCGGGTTCAAGCAATTCTTGTAATTCAGCCTGTAATGTAGCTGGGATTACAGGCGCTGGCCACCACACCTGGCTGATTTTGTATTTTTAGTAGAGACAGAGGTCTCGCCGTTTTGGCCAGGCTGGTCTCCAACTCCTGGTCTTAAGTGATCTGCCTGCCTCAGCCTCCCGAAGTGTGGAGAGCTTTTTAAAAATATATAATTAATTTCAGCCAGGCATGGTGGCTCACACCTGTAATCCCAGCACTTTGGGAGGCTGAGGCGGTTGGATCACCTGAGGTCGGGAGCCCAAGACCAGGCTGATCAACATGAAGAAACCCCGTCTCTACTATACTAAAAATACAAAATTACCTGGGCATGGTGGCACTACTGCACTTCAGCGTGGGTGACAGGGTGAGACTCTGTCTCAAAAAAAAAAAAAAATGGCGCTGGTAAAACTGAATTCCACATGCTAACGAGTGAGGTTGGACCCCTACCTCATACCATACACTAACATTAACCAAAAATGGGTCAAAAACCTAAATGTAAGAGCTAAAACTATGAAACTCTTAGAAGAAAATACAGGAAAAAGCTTCATCACATTGGATTTCTTAATGATTTCTTAGATATAACACCAAAAGCACAGGTAACCAAAGAAAAAATTGATAATTCATCTACATCAAAATTTAAAACCTTTGTGCAAGGAATACTATCAATAGAGTGGCAACCTTTGGAATGGGAAAAAACATTTGCAAATCTTAAATTTGATAAGCAGTTAATATGCAGAATATATAAAGAACTCTTACAATTAAAGAATAACAAAACAAACAATGGAATTAAAAATGGATGAAATACTTAAATAGGCATTTATCCAAAGAAGATATACAGGTGGCCAATAAGCACATGAAGAGATGTTCCACACTGCTAATTATTAGGGAAATGGAAATCAAAACTACAGTGAGATACAACTTCATACTTACTAAGATTGCTATAATGGTAAATCTTACTAAGATTTTTATAATAAAAAAGACCAGAAGGCCAGGCATGATGGCTCATGCCTGTAATCCCAACACCATTGGAGGCTGAGGCAGAAGGATTGCTTGAAGCCTGGAGCTTGAGAATAGTTGGGTAACATAGCAAGACATCGTCTCTACAAAAGACTTAAAACTTAGCTGGGCATGGTGGTACATGCCTGTAGTCCCAGCTACTCAGGAGACTGAGGTGGAAGGATCACTTGAACCCAGGAGGTGGAGGCTGCAATGAGCTATGATCACACCACTGCACTTCAGTCTGAGTGATAGAGCAAGACCCTGTCTCTGAATAAAATAAAAGGAAAGAGGGCTGAGCACAGTGGCTTATGCCTGCAATCCCAGCACTTTGGGAGGCCAAGGCGGGCAGATCACCTGATGTTGGGAGTTTGAGACCAGCCTGACCAACATGGAGAAACCCTGTCTTTAAAACAAATCATAAGGAAAATGAAAATCAAAACCACAGTGAATTATCAATTCACAACTAATTAAAAAAAAAAAAAAAAAAAGAACAAGTATTGGCCAAAATGTGGAGAAATTAGAACCATTGTGCGTTGCTAGTGGGAAAGTAAAATGGGACAACTGCTATGGAAAACAGTGTGGCAGCTTCTCAATGATTAAATGTAGAATTACCAGGCTAGACGCGGTGGCTCACACCTGTAATCCTAGCACTTAGGGAGGACAAGGTGGGTGGATTACCCAAGATCAGGAGTTTGAGACCAGCCTGGCCAACATGATGAAACCCCGTCTCTACTAAAAATACAAAAAAATTAGCCAGACATGGTGGCAGGTGCCTGTAATCTCAGCTACTCAGGACGCTGAGACAGGATAATCACTCGAACCCAGGAGGAGGAGGTTGAAGTGAGCTGAGATTGTGCCACTGCACTCCAGCCTGGGTGACAAGAGTAAGATTCTATCTCAAAAAAATCATGAATTTAATTAAATAAAAATAGAATTCCCCTATGATCCAGCAATTCCACTTCTGAAAGCAGAGACTTGAACAGATATTTGTACACTCACATACACAGCAGCATCATTCACAACAACTCAAAGATGGAGGGAACCCAAGCGTCCATCAACAGATGTGGATAAACACAGCACCGTGTATACAGTGGAATATTATTCAGCCTTCAAAGAGGAAGAAATTCCAACACACACAATGCAGACGAACCTCGAGGACATTATCTAAGTGAAATAAACCAGTCAGAAAAGGACAGATAGTGTATGATTCCACTTATGTGAAGGACTTAGAGTTGTCAAGTTCACTGAGACAGAAATAGAGTGTGGTTACTGCAGGCTGGGGTGTGAGGCGGTGGGAAGTGACTGTTTAATGGGTGTGGAGTTTCAGTCTGGGAAGGTGAAAACAGTTCTAGAGATGGATGGTGGTGACAATGGCGCAATATGAATGTACTTTAATGTCACTCAACTATTTTTAAATGATTGAAATGGCAAATGTTATATTTTATATATTTGATCACAATTTAAAAAATCTCTTCCCTGTTTATCTTTGGCCATCATCCCTGCCTGTTGAGGCGTCTGGGATCTGGGAGAGGCAGCCCACACCCTATTTTAGTATCAGAGCCTCCTGCACGATCCTTTCATCCCATTTTTCCCCCTATTATTAATTTATTTCATTTTTTTGAGATGGAGGCTCCCTTTACTGCCCAGGCTGGAGTGCAGTGGCAGGATGACTGCCACCTCCACCTCCTGGGTTGAAATGATTCTCCCCCCTCAGCCTCCTTCATAGCTGGGATTACATCATGCCCACTAATGTTTGTATTTTTAGTGGAGATGGGGTTTCACCATGTTGGCCAAGCTGGTCTTGAACTCCTGACCTCAGGCGATCCACCCGCCTCGGCCTCCCAACCTGCTGGGATTACAGATGTGAGCCACCATGCATGGCCTCCCACTTTTTTTTTTCTTGTTTCCTTTTTCCTTTTTTTTTTTTTTTTTTTTTTTAGTTTGAGCTATTCACACTTGCCTATTTTTACTTTTGTTGTTTATGGTGATAATGTTATATTCAATAATGTATTGCCAATGCGAAGTCAGGCTAAACATAGCCTCTAAACAATTTTGCATGAGATCTCATTTTTGCTTGACCTTTTCCTTTTCCCTGGATGAAAAGGAAAAAGTTTTTTTTTGCTGGGAGCCCTTTCTCAATAACTCCCTTGCGTAAGAATCCCTGACTCAGGTTCTGCTTCTATGGGGCTGACGACAACACCTCATCTATTTTCTTTCTTTATAAAATCATGGGGTGTAAAGAGTCCCTCCAGGCAGGAGTCTGGTTTCCTCCTGGGTAGGAGTCTGCTCCATTTTAGAAGCTTTCCAAGCAGCATCCCACTTCTCCACATGACTGTGGATGACTATCTTACCATGTGCTCAGGAGGGCTCCAGAGAGCATGTGAGCATGGATGGTGTGATCCCAGCCTCCCAAGTAGCTCTGTCCAGGTCATGTCTGCAGGGCGACATCAACGGGAAAACCACGCTTGCTCGGGCTCAGCAGGCCAAAGTCTCAATCCCATCTGGATTCATTTTCCAGGGCTGCAATAACAAAGTATCACAAATTGGGTGACTTAAAATGACAGAAATGTGTTGCCTCACAGTTTTGGAGGCTGGAAGGCCAAAATGAAGGTGCTGGCAGTGTCATGCTCCCCTGCAAAACCTGTAGGGAAGAATCCTTCCTGCAATCCTCCAGCTTCTGGTGTTTGCCAGGAATCCTGGCCTCCCTAGCAAGTACCAATTGCATCACTGCAATCTCTGCTTCTATTGATGCATAGCTATATGCCCCTACATGTCTTCTCTCTCTCTCTCTTTTTTTTTTTTTTTTTTTTTTTTAAAGAGTTCCACTCTTGTGGCCCAGGCTAGAGTGTAGTGGTGCGAACTCGGCTCACTGCAACCTCTGCCTCCCGGGTTCAAGGGGTTCTTCTGCCTCAGCCTCCC